AACTGCTCTAAAAGATAAAAAAATGAAAATTTAAACAAAGGCTCTTCTGGCTCCTCTGCGTTGACTTTGCCCTCCGGCCGCTATTGTAGTGTGAATAATGAGTCCCAGAGAACTTGATCTTGATCATTTTTTTGGCCCACACTTTTTTTTAGTCCATATTTTTTTCCACTCATTTTTTTTTCATTGCACTCTATGTAAAAATTTAGGTAAAAAGTGCTCCAAACCAAAAAAGGTTCTGGTTTGCCTGAGACTCAGAAGGCTCCCAGGACGGGAAACTTTCAGTGGTAAACCTGGGAGGGTCCCCAGCAGACTGAGAGGAGTCCCTCACCTGAGCTCCCCTCGGAGCCAGTGTTGCTAGTGAGGTGGGCGCCAACATCCAGCACGTGAAGGTACAAGGTGTCCTCGCCCAGAGCCTGCTGTGCGTAGGTCCTGAGTAACTCTGGGCTACTGTTCCATTGTTGTTTCTCATGTCGGGCCCCTCAGGGCTTGTGTGTGGGCTGTTTTCCCTAAATGCTTACTGGATTGCACTGGACTGGAAAGGTTTTTGAATTCCATTCTTAAACTCGTTTCCCAGTGCTCTGGGCCAGTGGGCCACGTGGCACTCCCTCCGTGGAGGGAGGCGGAGCAGCTGAATGGGTCTATACTCTGTCCAACAGGCGGAGTCCACCGGCCACGCACATGGCTGTCACGGTAAAGTCTGTTGAAATTCTTGACCTCTGAGCACATCTGGAGAAGCTCACTTTGACAGTGCTGCACCGTGATTTCCCTTGAGTGAGACAGATCACAACCTTTGCTGGCCAGGGAGGAGCTGTGAGCGTGGGGAAGAGGAAGCCGGCATTAGCAGGGGGGTGGGGGAGTGTGGAGGGCTCCCCAGATCACACAGTGCCCGAAAGGCGGTTCACTCCCCTCGTCCCCAAAACTCGGTGGCCAAGCACAGATATATACATCTGCAGGGGCCACAGTCTGCCAGTTCGTGCCCGTGGGTTAGAGTTCTAAAATGACCTAAATTCTCACAGCAGATGATAACCTGAGAACCAGAGAAAAATCGATTTTTCTCAAAACTTGTTAAATCTCAGAGAAAGCCAGAAGAATCAGAGATATGAACAAGTTCACATACAAATTCCTTTGGCATTTTAATACAAAGGACCAAATAGAAATCATTGCAATTGTAAAAGGCTAGTAGGAAAAAAATAAATATAAAATAAAACAAAAGGCTAGTAGGCACATAGTATGCCAATCAAAATTTCTGCTCAACATTGAGTTTTGATTTTGTTGGGAAGTGGCAGCTATTATTAAAATAGAAAAGTTCTAGGGGACAACTTGATCTGGGTGGTAAGATTAAATTCAACAAATTTATCATAAATTTTTAACATAAATATCTATGTTAAAAAGGAGTCTACGGCCATGCCACCCTGAACAAGCCCGATCCCGTCTGATCTCGGAAGCTAAGCAGTGTCAGGCCTGGTGAGTACTTGGATGGGAGACCACCTAGGAAGACCAGGTGCTGTAGGCCTAAAAAATAAAAAATAAGGAATTGTAAGCTGACTAGGTCCTTGCAATCTGTGAGGTCAACCAAGAGTTGCCTCACCTAAAAAAAAAAGACGTTGCTAGCCAGCAGTGAGGTAGCAGAGAGACTTGAAAAGGTTGACTCTGGTCTAGATTCTTGACCGACAGGTCCCCCTCTTCTGAGAACTGAGCTAGGAGCTGAGACTTAAAGGCCTCCCATGTCCCTTCCAGATCTACGTCTGTCTCACTCCAGAGTAGAACTGGAAGCTTGGCCCTGGGCCAGATACAGCCCCT